CCAATGAGTTTATGTACCATGAGACTTTCTGGGAGAAGGATGGCATTCACAACATGGTGATGGGTGTGAAGTCATGGACAGTTCAAAAGGACACCAGGCCCAGTGAGCTGGCGTGTGTTTTTCACAACCAGCAACACTAGACATGCCAGATTAAGAAAGACTCGCTATGAAATGAATGGGAGTGTAGACGTTCTCTAAGATGCCACCCATAGACACCTGTGACAGCATATAACGACAGTTCTTCACACTTACACTGCCTCAGTCAGTCAGTGCAACAGCACTTCCTCTCTTCATCTCATTGCTCTCGTTTTATGCTTTCATATATATCAAATGAGGCGTGCGGGGTGGAGCAGGGCACTTGCCTGGGTGAAGCGATGGGTTTAAAGGTGTTAGCTGAAAAACAACAAGTAGCTCATCAGTAGTAAAGGTGACAAGCGTGAAGCAAAGTGTGAACGGAGAGTCTTCACGCGAGCGTGGTGGAGCAAGGGACAGGCCCAGAGCGGGGCAGGCGGCGGCTGATGCATGGTGGGAGATGGTGATGATGAGAACAGACACGAGCCACATGAGGCCCCCTGACAATGCAGGAGTCCCCTGCGGTATGTCCAGCAGTCCACTTATACACACACACACACACACACACACACACACACACACACACACAGATGCACAAATGCACACAAGCACGCAATTTTAACACTACTAGACTGACTTTGTAAAAACAGTATAATACAAAAAATGTAACACAGAAATGTAAAATTTTAATAAAAAACTAATTTAACCCTGAATCATTTTGGTCAAATTAATTTTGTTCTTTGATTTTATCAGTGCTGGATTCTTTTCTGTGTCTGATTTGTAATGATTGCACACCCTCTAGTGGTGTTATGTTTTATAGCAGTTAACTCTGGAATTCTGAATTGCAACTGTATACATACATACTTTTTATTTTGTTTAGGTGCGTTTGCTTTTCGGTTGGTTTGCTGTGTTTTTTGCATGTCTTTGTACATGTAAAAATATCACTGTTACTAAAAAGCCCTAATGCATCAGTGCACGCCATCAACGCTCTTATTTAGCTGCCGAATGGGTCAACAGCAGCACAGCGAAGTTGTCCTTGATAAACCAGACTGAAATGTAAACTGTGTGGGGGAAGTTTCATACACAATTCATTTTGGCAGCGAAAAACATCCCAAATTTGGTTAGGCACCATTTGCGGAACCATGCTGGCTATTCCACACATGTAGACACCAGAAGTCGTTCCCAGTTTGCCTCACCAACACACCACTGGTCCCCCTCCACCATGAGGGTGCCTTTAAAACGATATGCCTTCTGGGGTGTTCTTTTATGGGCTGCAGTTTCACCATTGACGATTGTATAATTCTCTTCAAATCAGTTTGTTCCCCCCCCTCTCCTTCCCCTCCCCTCTTTTTTTAGCCCACCCCTGACTTAACAACCAGAAAAAGGTCACATTTCTGAGAAGTGACTTCCATGCATGTTCCATGCTGGGTCGTCACTTTCAATTTCCTAAGACCTTTCATGTCACACACCCATCAACCCAGAAAACTACAAACACACTACTACACACTACCACGTGCGCCATTCTAACTTTTCGTGGTGCTGGTGTGATATATGAGTTATGCTGTAAAAAATAAAAAGCATATTTTTAGCTATCATTTTGACTTGATTAAGACAGAATGCAAAACACCATACAGATGTACAGATGTCATGTTTTATTTTTTGAGGTCAATAGAAAGGTGAGAGTCAATGATGTTCCTTTCGTAAACCATGATATTCACAGTTAAAACCACTACATGCATGGACACCGCTGAAGCAGATTTAGGGGCGTTAGCGGAGGGCATGCATGAGCAGAAATGATCATCTCCTTCTTTCCATGTCCTCTCGTGCTCCTGCAGTATTTAACACCGAGAGACCCTCAGGGCACCCCAGTGAGCGCTCAACAAACGACTGTCTTTTCCTTTTCCAGCGCACCATTTCAGATGGTACGAGATGTTTAACTCTGTGCGCAAAATTAATGGAGCATGAAATGTAGGCCTGAAGTGCAGCAGGCTCCGAACCTGCAGGTGACATTGTCTACATGAAGCCCTTATTGTGACCTAAGCGAGCTGTATTATAACCGCATTTGACTGGTGACAATTAGTGACCTTTTGCCTATCCAGCAGCCATCCATTTCAATTACACCAACCTGGGAGGCTTTGGTGGACAATCACACTTCTACTGTACTTCTACTGTTAGCCCGGCAACCGCACTGTTCTGCTAATCCTGCACTAGTTTGATATGATTCAGCAAACCACTGGAACATGTGGTATTGTATTAAATTTGAGTTTTGAAGTGATCCTTATAAAGCGTCATAGTTATTATGTTGTGTTTGTATTTTATTTATTATCATCTTTGAAGAGTGGTTTCTTTGTGCATAGCCATCATTAAAATAACAGATCCATTGTGAGAATGTTGATGCTTTAGATTGGAGCCTGAAAAATGACAATGAAAATACTTATGTACAAAGTATCAGTACAGTTCTCACTGGGTACATATACCAAGACAAAGAAGAAGTATTATTATAGTAAGTAAGTAATATTTATAGTATAATGTATCTTTAAGTCCCCAGTTGCACCTAACTGGCAGCAAATAGATTGTCAATGTGGTTGGTTGTTTGAAGATCTGTGGCCCTGAAGTAAAGATGGAGTCCTCGGGATGAAGCTCAAGAAGCCTGGCAAACACGGTAACCAGACTCCTGCACACACACGCACGCACACCAGTACTGAAACTCATACTGAGCATCCGTGGCAGAGATTTACTAGCATGGTCCTCACTAACCACATAGCAGGAATCCTCATACCCAGAAAGCAGCACTCTTTAAATGCAACAGTCCAGCGAGGTTGTGTTTCAAATAATGGTATTTTGGTTGGATTATTATTATTATTGTTCTTATTGAGGGAGAATGAGAAGATTTCTATAGCTGTTGTAGTTTCCCCATTTGAATGTGTGCACACTGAGAGTCAATATGTCCCGATGTATATCAGAGTGCTTGTTTGTTTTGCTAAGTGAATGTGCCACACATAGTTTAGTTCCCTTTTTATGAGATACATATAATGAAAGCACCCTGTCGGCCCCCTGTATGTCATTATTTAACATGTACTGGGTGTGAGAGTTCTTAAAGAGCATTTTATTTCTAGGTCCCAAAACACACATTTGTCACCCTCTCATTCTCCGTTCTTCTATCCTAGTCCTTACTGCTCTGTATCCAGTTAGTACACTAGCTGGTACTATTCACTGTGATTTGCAGGCTGAAATCTGAAGCATTTTGCAACATGCAAATCAAATTGAGTGTGTTTTGTTTGCTGAAGTGAAGCTGCTGCATTTTTCCTTTGCTTGAAGCAGCCGTATGTCGCCACATTCTTACCACCATGACTATTCTCAGAATCTAACACCATGAGTTTTTTCAGTTGAGACTGTACGTTTTTTAATCTTTTTCAGTGGTTGAGATAAATGTAGATGTGACATTCTTCAAACTGTTTGTGATTCATCCACACATCACAGCACTCTAACAGGCTTCTTTTTTTTTATAGGCACCAGAATTGCTTCAGTTTCCTCCTATATCTTCCATCAGCTCCACCTCAGGCCTGCCTGCCTTCACCTCAGCTACACAGAGTACAAACTTAAGAAACCTCAGAGGCAGGAACATGATATAAAGCCTCACAGTCTATCACTTCATCTAACCTTTCTGAAAAGCATGCTGCACTCACTCCTAGTGTAAATATGTGGACTGTTTTATTAACTTGTAGCCACTGTAATGTCACATTACGGACACTTTTGTCAAAGGCAACTTGCATTGACGTGCACATGCATTTAGCATCTATAGTTAGATGTCAGATCATCAGTTGTTGGATATCATCATACATGTGTATGTGGAAGAGAGCTTCACTGGAATGGATGTGTCCATGCAGAAAACAAACATTAATACAATCTGCATTTCCTTTTTTTCTCTCTATGTCTCTCCTCCACACAAACTCACCCACAAACACTATCACACACTGACCATTATCATAAACCACATTGTAGAAACAACAGTATGGAAACAGAAAGTTCTAGAGAGAACTCTGTCTCTCACAAACACAAACACACACAAACGCACGTTCATATATAGAGTGTGAAGATGAGGTTTCTGCTTGGAGTTACAGTTAGTATTGTAACAATAACACTTTGCAGTGAGTGTGTGTGCATGGGAGCCACTTGTGCTCATCATGAAGTTGTTTAGATCATATGTGACCAACAGCCCAGATGGAACAATACATTATACATGTAAATGTCCGCGACTAAACATATAATGAAAATGTACATTAATCAATTTGTTAAGATTTACTGTATAGGGTATTTTTTGAATAGGATTTATATAGGAGCTTAGCAAGTCCTTTACAAGTGACAGACAAGCTTTTAATAAGGATGATATAGAGAGAGATGTCAGATTAAAATGTAAATAGTGATCCAAGTGAAACAATAGAAAGAGTGCAATAGAAAAAAGACAATAAAACAATACATGATATTGTTTTATGAAACACACACTGTATTTTTCTGATTTTCTATATCTATTTAGTTAACACTGAACTACTGAAGGGGCTCTAAGTCTCATCTGTTTCAACATTGTCAAATGACAAAGCTCCTGCTGTGCTCAGAGCATCAAGTACTAGGGTTACAGTGTGCCAGACATGATGTCAAAAAGGAGAGGTGGGATTTGAACACTTCATACAACTTTTTCAGAGTGATTTCAAGTATCGCAGCTCAGTTTACAACCACGACCAGAAGACTCAGCAGCATTAACAGTAAATTAACTTGGCTATTGCGTCTCTTATTGTAAGTACTCTACACAGTATGATGATCTTCAGTCATTGCTCAGTGGGCTCTTGTTCCATTGCTTATGCACACTTCTTTCCTGCCTGAGATGATTTATGATTTACAATGTGACCTTTTTTCTCAGAGTGACAGGTGGGATGGCTGTTGATAACATCACCATGGACTCAGCTGAAAATTTTCCGAACCAGAGCAGCTGCGACGTGTTTGTCTACCAGAGAGCTGCAGTTGTCCTTTTCCCTATTTTCTACTCTGTGGTTTTCATAATCAGTGCGTGCGGCAACAGCTTGGTTCTCTATGTGATCTGTCAGAGGAAACAGAAGTTCAACTCCACCTCCATCTATCTGGTCAACCTCGCTCTCTCCGATACCCTCTTCACACTGGCGTTGCCGGGCAGAATTATTTACTACATCCGTCACTTTGACTGGCCCTTTGGTGACCTTCTCTGCAGACTGACCACGCTTCTCTTTTTTGCAAATACATATGCAGGTAATATCAGTGCTTCTGTTTCCAAAATGCTATGATATCTTTGAGTGTGTTTTAATCTGTGTCTACCCACATGCAACCATATCTGTACATCAGGTTCAGACACTTTTATTTTTCCATTCTGAGCTACGTATGTGTGTGACTTCTGCATTTGCATAGGTCACAATAACAGAATGGGAGTGGGTCTCTCCCATCTCTCTGCATTTGTTTTACCAATCTGTTCTGTATGATTTAAACATAAACTGTATTGCATATCCATCATGTTTCCACCAGGTATTGGGTTCATGACCTGCATCAGCTTGGACAGATATCTGGCCATGGTGCATCCACACCAGCTGCAGTGTTTACGGAGTGTGAGGGTTGTTCGCCGGGTCTGCTGCCTGGTCTGGGCTCTGGTATCCCTGCAGATAGCTCCCCTGCTGTTCCGCAGCATGCTGCATGAGCGGCAGGACAGGCGAACCTGCATGGAGTACTTCAACTTTGAGGGCTCCCGCTTCACTCCTTATCTCCTGCTCCTGGCCTGTGCCATCTCCTTCTGCTGCCCGCTCATCATCATCATGGGCTGCTACGCCAAGATCAACCTGAAGCTGCGAGCTGCAGCCAAGCAGAACTCTGTGACTGGCCGATCAAGGAGGAACCATAGGGCCAACACCATCATCCTCCTCATCCTCCTCACCTTTATCTTATGCTTCAGCCCGTACCACGTCAACGTTATGCAGTTTATGTCCAGGAAGATATACCACCAGCCAGCCTGTGAGGAACTGAGGGCCTTCAAGATGTCTTTACAGGTAGGAGCTGTAGTTTTGCATTTGATTTCAAACATTCACCATCAGTTTTTCCTTTTCACAATCCATCCTCTCCCTGCAGATCACAGTTTCACTAATGAACTTCAACTGCTGCTTGGACCCAGTCATCTACTTCTTTGCCATTAAGACCTACAAGAAGCGTGTGATGAGCCTCTTTAAGGACTATCTGTACACATCCGGTGCATCCTCCAAAATGACAGCTGAGAACAGCAGCAGCAACACCTGAGAGAAACCACAGCTGAGCTTACAAGAGACATGCCAACAACCATTGTCACAGAAAAGACCTAGTTTACTCTGGTAAAACCCAAAAAGGCCTATTTCAGTTTATTGTCGTTTTCATTTCTTAAGAAATGACTAACAGGTCTTTCATTAAAGATGTTGTGACAGCTGTGTATATACATATGTAGGAGAAATTCTAATTTGCTAATTTCCTGTCCTCTTCAATAAGTCTCTTCTCCTTGTTAAAGTGTTTTTTTTTTTAGAACACTGTATAAAATGTATTGCTCCATATCTTCTTTTTATATGATGATGTATCTTGTTGCCTTTTTTATATTCTTTTTGCATTTCTTGTTAAAATGTATTTGCCACAGTGGTGTCATACAGCGATGTCAAATATTTTGTTTATCAATATTTGTATCCTGAGAGGCTGTTTGGTTGTGTATGTGCAAAGGGTGAAGGAAATGTTCTAACCTAGATAAATAAGCTGAACTCGTTTCTCTCCCTCTCTGTGTGTTTGTAAAAATGTTGTGGTCATTAATGCAGTACAACTTTCACTTCCTTCGAGTTTTAAAACACATGTGAATCAAGTGAGGCAGAAATCTAAATCTATCAAATTTTGTAGGTGAATATAATTGGTTTATTATTGGACCATTGAACTATTATTATAAAAATCTGTAGTCTCCTCTCCTGCTATCAAAAACATCATTCCTATGAACCTCAGAGTATTACATATTTTAGAATTTGCTAGAACTTTGGGTATGCCAGAACAAGAACATGCCATGAATCTCTCTCTTTCATACCCACATCTGTCTTCTGTGTGGGAGTGAATAGATAAGTAGCAGCACCACTTCCTCACCCACCTTTCCTGCTCCCCCTCACAGGCCTCATTGCTCCTGGGTCCCACATCTTGTGGTAGAGCTGCTGTGTGTGTGTATGTATGTGTGTGTGTGTGTGTGTGTGTGTGTGTGTGTGTGTGTGTGTGTGTGTGTGTGTGTGTGTGTGTGTGTTTTGCACATTCAAGCAGGTGCAGGTTTTCTGTTTATAGTGCAGAGTCCCATATCTAAATTTAACTTTTATCATTTCCTGGGTTTTTGGAAAAACTGCCCTATGATCTTGTGTAGAAAGAAATATGCGCAAATAGCATCATAAAGAAGTAGTTGTAGTGGTTTGAACATTTACTGATGTGTTGTGATATCAATTCATTTATCTGTCAAGACTCTGAATGCAAATGCAAGTAAACACAACAAATCATAAGGATTATTAATTTAAGGGTCTTTGAATGTCAGTTACTGAGTCAATAAGAGACAAAAATATTTATTAAACAGCAAAGGTGGAACCACTAGGAGAAACTTAACATCCTCTGATCTGAGAGTGGATGAAATCTGCTACGCAAACTGAAACTAATCTGGTTCTACTTCACATGTTATAGGTATCAGCTTAAATAAGATCTGCCTGAGATGTGGATCCAGGGTTTGGGTTAGATGAGGATTGATGCTATATGCTCTATTGTATGACATTGCAGTGATCTAGTCTAAATGACAGAAATGCAGGAATAAGGGTTTCAGCATCTGGCAGTGTTATGCCAATGTGTATGTCTTTTCTTTGTTTAAATCAGGCAGTGGTGGAAAGTAACTAAATCCATTTACTCAATTACTTCAGTACAATTTTGAGGTACTTAACTTGAGTATTTCCATTTTATGCTACTTTATACTTCCATTCCACTATATTTCAGAGGGAAATATTGTACTTTCTACTCCACTACATTTATTTGACAGCTTTAGTTACTAGTTACTTTTAAGATGAAGATTTTACACAATTCATCATAAAACACGATTTTAAATTACGACACATTGTTACAGATTAAATCAGTGGTTTTCAACGTTTTTGGCTTCTGTGTGTAAAGCTGTGTGTAGTCAGAGTCACATTTCAGATCAAAACTTTGTTTTTTCTTCTTACTTTTTCCATTTATCATCTCACAACCCCTGAGATTTATCTGGTGTCCCTGTAGTTACAACTAGTTCCATCAGCTTCAACTTTGACGTGCTGCTTTCACACTGATCTTCAGTATCAAGTGCTCCAGTATCAATAATCTAATGATGTCATATTTAATAATATGTCAGACAGGGGGACCAAACCAGTATCTTTACTTACTTTAACTGCATTTTGCTGCTAAAATGATGTACTTTTAATAAGGTAGAATTCTTCATGCAGGACTTTTACTTGTAGTGGCTGTTTTACTTAAGCAAATCACTGAAAGCAGGTAGTTGTTGCAAGGATAAGGAGTTATATAAAAGTAAACAGGCTTTGGAGAGACATAAATATAAATCAGGATATCATCTTCATAAAGACTTAATATGACCTATTCAAAGTTAATATTGCCAAGTGTAAATATTTAAAGGACAAAAAACAATGGACCTAACACAGAGCTTTAAGGTACCCCAGACATAAACATTGTGACAAAGACAGAATCGTGTTCTACCTGGTGAAAATGACCTGAACCTCTCCTTCATACCATTTCCTTCACTGCCTTCAGTGATAATTAATACTAGGTTGAACTGCACAATTTAAAGTATTTTGGAGACAAAAGGGAAGTGGTTTCTTGTAGAGAGGTATGATAATGACATCTGTGAAGACAAAAAGCATTTACCCAGAGGAGACTGAGTTGTTCTGAGAGACAAAAAGAACCAAAACAAGGTAAGTCCTAAAAAAAAGAAAATTCTGATTGAAAATGCAAGTTGCAGGTTTAGAGGATAAACAATGTGACTCGCTTGGACCACTTGGGTGCAGCACAGCACACCTTAAAAGCATCGACATATACTCAGTTGGCAGTTTACCAGGTACATCTAGCTGAAACTAATGCAGTAATACAACAGTGCAATAAATCCTACCTTCATGAAGGTTATAATGCTCCCTTTTTATTGAACTTGTTTTAGGAAGGTGTTGATTCAACTGTATGATCATTTTGGAGGATGTAGTTTGTGGTTTTGTTCAACTGTACTTTACATATTGAGCAGACACAGAACAACATTAACATTCATTTGGAGTTGCGTTTACTTACTGACTCTTTATCTAGCTCAGTTTTACTATCCACCTCTTTAGTTGCTGAATGCTCCACTATATTCACCATCTAAGTTAGTCTGTCTGCTGTTTTCTGATGGGCGGAGAGAAAACAGTCTTTTCTTTTTCTTACCGAGAACAGCTGAACTGTGGCTGAAAACAGCACTGACAACAGTGGTGAGAGTGAGTCAACTCAGAACAGATGAAGGCCTAAAACCAAAACAACTGATTAAGAGAGGCTAAAAAGCTCTGGAGAGCTGGAAGGAACTGCAGAGTTGAGTGATAACTCTCTGTGGATTTGTCACCATGTGCGATCCCTCTCACATAGCCATTATCCATATCCAATCCATATCCATTGTTAACATAAAAATATTGAATAGAGCAGATTTAAGTTCTGTCATAAATTGGATTCTAAGAATAAGGCCAAAAAAAGTCCTTCCTATTGATGTGATGACCCTTCTACATATTCTTTGTGAGCTCCACCTCAACCCACCTTGTGGATTGCATTTTTTTCAATGTTCTGTAAATGCTTCCTGGGAGGCTTGCACATGTAATATTGGCCCTCAAAATTACATAGAAGGGTGCCATGGTTGATTTCACAGCCCCTAAACAGACCTTAGATCTTCAGCACAAAACTTCAGAATCCTCACGAGAGTCATTCTTGAGAATCAGGAGCCACACTTTAGGCAAAAGTATCTATATAGTGGACTCCAACATCTTCTACCAACCTTAACAACAGAGTTGTTTACATTGCCTAACACATGTTAACAACAGTTTGCCATAATTACAACCTTTCCTTAACCTCAATCACGCCGTTGTTGCCATGCACATTATTGAGTGTCAAAAATTACATTGTTATGATGAAAGTAATCCTGGTATTTGCAGAATCACCCAGTGCCAACATTCTGAATTGGAAAGGTTTGACACTGAAATATGATGTTTTTCCTGGAGCAGTTCAGAATGGTGAAATTTCATCTCATCTGCGTGAGAAACTGCATGCACTTACAAGTAAAATGGTGCAAAAACAACCATGACCTCACACAGTATCAGTCAAATCAACCCATGTTTAATCAAACCACAAACCAATTAGTTTTCCTTTACACAGACCAAACTTCAGTGCAACACATCAAAGTTCATGCCAGACACAAGATAATGAGACAGAACACTTGTCACTGTCTGAACTTCAACTCTTGTCTGTGCTCAGTACCCTTTTGGTCGGAGTCAACTTTGTTATTGACGCACAATCATAAGTTTTTGTCGGACTGCAACATTTCCACTTTGTCACTGTGGAGATAGTCAGTTTGTGCCTTCTCATTCTGTCATCGACCATCAGCTCCTTTTTTCAAAACCTTCTTCTGCTTTTCTGTGCTACCCCTAATGGCCCCTCCAATGAGAAGTTGTCAAATGATGCCCAGAGGTGGTGGGAACGACTCAGGGCTGCATCCTTTGAGAACTGTTTACCTTAAAATACACCTTATCATTTCAAATGAAAATTAAGCAGAAATGTGAATGGAGGAAGTAACTTTTAAAAGCAAAACAAACTTTTAAATTGTCAGATTGACATCAGGTCAAACCCTAAATGTTGCCTGTGCCTGCCCCTCACCAAACAGAATATTGATATGGAAATATGACAGAATTGTTCAGTATCAGTGTCAACATTTTAAATGCTCAGTGCCAGCAATTTCTAATGAGCTATTTCCTCAGTATTTACATGCCATCTCCAGAAGGGTACACGTTGGCATGACTGTGTGGTTATAGAGCAGATTGGTAACATTTCTCAGGTTGTTTATTTGGTTTTCAACAGGAAACAGGATGTCTGACATCTATGTAATTATTCATTAACTACCACAATTATACATCTGTCAGTAGATCTTTCTTTTTTGCTCTGTTCAGAGAAGTTGTTCAAAAGGTGTAATTTCATCACATCAGAATGCTTCCAACTGTTGAGAGTTGATAAGCAGTGTGTGTGTTTACCATCTTCAGGCTTTTTGTATAATATTTATATTAACATTTATATAACATTGGGTAAAAAAATCCACCCCATGAAGAGACAATTGTTGTTTTTTGTGATACCTCCTCATGTTAAAACCCCAACATCACCTGTTGGTCGATGGGACAGGAAACTCAAACTCAGCATGACAATCAAACATGTTACAGGATGAGGCTGCATGGTGTTATTCTGCATTTCCTTATTGTCAACAGATCTTGTTAAAAGTGGGTTAGTTAATTTCTTCAATACTATAGGCAAAAAAATGTAGTATCAAAATGACATTAAAATATGACGTATGAATTTAAAAAGATTTTTTTACAATCCCAGCCTCTCAGAATAAACCTGCAGAAAGCCTAGTACTGCATATCTTCTCAGGTGGATGGTTCATGGTGAGACAGAGGACAAGTGCAGATTGGGATGGGGCTGTTGTGGGGCAGACACAATGTTGTTGTTCAAATAATTGTCAGGGTTCATCTTTCATCTTTGTGTGTGTGGAGATACTTGAAAAGCATGTATTAATATATGGCTCACAAGAATAGAGATAGTGATTTTTCTGGTTTTTGGTTTGGTACCGTTACTTTCAGTAAACCAAAGTAACCAATATGCTTTGTCAGGCAAGCAATAGAGCTGTTACCACATAACCACTAGACACAGGTAAAGCCGAAAGCTACATACAATAAACTGCTTTCTTTTTCCTTATGACATCTAATGTCATACAGCGTTACAGAGTGTACAGGGTTATTGTACAGAGTTAAATATTTTACATTTGCATTTTTTATATGAATTCAAATTTAATTCAGATGATGAGTATGGACTTGCAATCTATAGTATAAGTTTCAGTTACATGGAGTTGGCTGCAGTTATAGTTGGTTAACACTGACAGAAACTCTATCAGTTTTTACTTTTGTCTGCAGAAATGTTTAGGAGTTATTTAGAGGAGAATTTGCCTCTGACAGAGCAGTTAAGACATTGCTGCCATCCTGTGACTTCCTGAAGTTCCAACACAAGACTGTGTACTGTAAACAGGTGCCAAACACAAACCTTTGACCTCTTTTGTTCTCCATTACTCCAGTATGTGTGATCTGAACCTCACCAGCTGCAGTTCTCTTTTCTTGCCAGAAGAGAGAACTGTTCCTCTGAGAAGAAGTTTTAGATGATAATGATTTTAAAATGTTATAAAAGGAGGAAAAAAGGATATTTTTGTCAATGTGATATTTTAAATGTCCAGATACAGTTTTGAACAAATTCTTATGGCGAGGCCCAGCGGCAATAAGTGGAATAATGGCGATAACATAATCATTACAACAACGCCTCCGCTGTAAGTGGAGCTAGATTCCACTGATCCACAGTAAAAGGTCACTGCATTTACATGAACGCTGAGACGTTGACAGGGCAGTTGCAAAGCTTTAGGACAGTGATATGTTTGTCATTGCTTAAGGTTTGTACACCAACACATAGGATTTTAAATGAAACCCTCATCAAGATGATAAAGTGCTGATTTTAAGGGCTCTATTCTAACAGTCCAATGCGCATGGTCTAAAGCATGTGGCCCAAATGTCTGTCTCAAGATAGTAGATAGAATGCTGAAGATAGCAATGTGCCAACAATGCGCCTGACCACACCTCATTTTTAAGACCCACACACCCATGGGCGCAAGTGTATTTGTTATTTAAACAATGTGGGTGCTGGATGGGAAAATGACAACTGTGTTGCTCTGAAACTAGCAAAGGCACGGGTAACACTCTCAGTGGTTTAAAGGAGAATTCATAGCTCTTTGTATAAAAGGGGCTAGATCTCTGCACAGTTCATCAGATGTAGATGTTGCCAATAACTTTTTATTTTTTTTATTTTACATGTGCTGGAGTGCAGAGCCAGCACAACAACAATGTGTCACTGTCCTTACATTCTGTGTGTTGCATCATTTGGTCTGAATGTTTGCCCAAAACTGCTGCATAAGAATGAAAGTGGAACCCAAAGTAAAATATAGAAAGAAAATATCATAAAACAGTTATTTAATATAATTGCAGTCCTAAAAACAGAAATACTTGATGATGCATTCATTAATTAACTGATTTGCTGTAAACTGTTCTTTCAAATCCTATCAATAAAATCGAGCAATGCAAACTTCCATACGTCAGTAGTCTCAATTTTGTTACCTAACCAATGTTTTTCTAAAGAACAACAGCCACAGAAGTTTCCTGTGCCACTGTTGCAATCTTATCTTAACTGTGTATTGAAAAACAGGACAAGCCTGTAATCACGCTATGTGATGCTCCGTTCATCAACATGTAGTCAGCACACAGTGGTACACCGTAAATACACTGCGTGACATTTAGAGGGTTTACTGCAACTTTGTGGTAGAGATTAATTCAGCCAGCAGAATCACAGAGCGATCGGACTGGGAGTATTGACAGCAGCTGTAAAACCATAGGCATATCAACAAACTATAAATGTACAGAAAAAAACAAACAAACAAAGGGCTACACAGCAACAGTACCACGAGAGCACTTCAGAACAGATCTCTTCCATTCACCCACCTCCTATATAAACTACATGCAAACAGCATAGAAATGAGAGCATTAGCTAAAAGCTACAATAGTTCCAAATTATACCACATTTCAACGGGAACAGATAAAGAGGATTTCCTCTTGAAGTTTCTCTCTCACAATGTCCTTATACACAGGATGTATACGAAAAACTGATGAGTATCAAATGCTTTGCTGCAATGCCAGTATCTCACAGTCCAACCCACAGTCTTTAGTCTATGCAGTATCATCAATATTATTATTATTATTATTATTATTATTATTATTATTATTATTATCATTATTATTATTGGCTGGTATCTCTGTTTGAGTAAATGTAAAGACATTCTGAGTGTCTTTTCTTTGGTATTCAGGCCCATTGTCTTCTATGAATAGCCATGGCAGAACACCATGCCTGTTGTCTGTCAGCGATGGGTGTGATCAGGCCGTCTGAAGCCCAGTGAGTCAGACCCACAAGGCCAGGCCATGAGGAAGTTACACTGCTTCCTCTGCTTGTTTTGAACAAAGGAGAGTTGTGGCCAATATAATACTTGTAAGTATACTTTATTTGTTGTTTTGTTGCGTTTAACATGTGGGCACAAGTCTTCACATTCCTCTTACAGTAAGATTTCTCTTGTGTTTGTTGCACTGTCTTGATTTCAGCTGGAAAGTGGATACTGTGCATATCCATCCATTTAGATAACTGTGCAGGTAAATGTTTACACATGCCATCATGCTTGTGTTATCATACTGTATATCCCGAAGCTGAAAATGCTTTCAAGTAGTGAGCAGTACCCGAAAGGGCGGGAGTTATTCAGACGCGTGAAACCACAGGAAAAGAGTCCGTGTACAAAAGTTATGTATGCATGTAGAAACTTCTGATGCAAATACTGTCAGTCTGCTTATTGGGAACATGATCATCTTTTTTCTTTTTTTTACTTTTTAACTTAATAAAGTGAATGAGATTTTTGTATGTATGTATAATTTTTTTGTAGTAACATTCTCTTTAGGTTTTTTTTTCTAGAGCACAAATTATATCTGAATTTGTTTTTGATCTCCACTCCAAAGCATATTTCTGTTTTTACACAGTGGTTCTGCTCTTACACCTATAACCATGGCCTGTAGTTGTACATGGAGGCCTTTTGACTGCAAGAAACTCTCACCACAGAAAGTAACTGTGGCGTTTGGGCAGCAAAATCTTAAGATAGATACCTAAAATCACTTCTGCTACGTCAGTGGCTTGAATGGCACTCAATAGTTCAAAGCAAATGATCACATAAGAAATCTTTGTTTGGAGTGGAATTAGTCAGAACTGAGCTCCAGGCAGCAAAATAAAAGGTGTTTCTGGAGCAAAGGGGGAGTTCCTGATTTTGGTCTTAAGGGAAATTTCAGAGTTAAAAAAAAAGACAAATTTGAATTCTGGACGATCTGAGAGAATCTTGTGATGTTAATATTGAGCAAAAAATTAGCAACTGTGGCATTTGTAAAAATGGTCTCTTGCTAGGTGTCACCTGAAGCCACATCCTCCCATGAGTACACACATGGCACAGCATACTATATGAAACCTTTTACTGAAATATGTCACAGATGTCTCAACCCCCACCCCCGTCCTCACCCCCACATAATTATCAATCACAAAGGCCAAATGAAATTTTACATACATCACATGATGATTGTTTTTTCCTTTTTTTGGGTGCAGTCAGTAGGTGTTTCAAAAGTGTGTGCTGAGAGATAGAGAGTTTGAAAAGGGTTAGCAAACAAAAGTGAGAGAGGTAGAGAGACACAAACACATGCATGGGCAGAGAGAGAGAGAGAGAGAGAGAGAGAGAGAGCTACAACAGGATATTTTGTCACTATAGTTACCGGCAGCAGATACAGATCTTGATTTCTGTATGTCATACTGTTCTCAGTCAGTGCAGTGGGGTTGTAGTGCTGTCAGGGCAGCTCTTATAATTGAGATAAACTTTGCACAAGAAGTTTGATGCCTTCTGGATCAATGTGGCTTCAGTAAATCTGAGGAAATACATATTCTGTGAGGTAAGTGCTTCAAGTATTTGGATTACATATAAACGTGTTTGTGAGTGTGCGTGTGTGTGTGTGTGTGTGTGTGTGTGTATCTGTGTGTGTGTTCTTTGACTTTTAACAAAAAGATAACTGTTCAGTTTTGCAGTTTACCTTGTGATGGATTTATGTTGTGAAAAATGTGCTGTATTCCAGAGTGAGAGTCAGACCAAGTCATTTTTCAATGGTACATCATCATCACACCTTTACTATAGTTTAAAGGCAACGAATACTGGAGTATGAAATAACATTGGTGCTTAAAGAGGGAAATTCAGTGCTAGACATACATATTAATACCAGAGTGAAAGAAATCAGTCCCAGTTGTGACACCCACAGTTTGAAGGACACCACTCTGATACCTGTTTGTGTCTTATTGGAAAAGTATGTTACTGATTGATAAGAAACGTGTTTTGAAAAATACTGTTGTTGCATGTTTGAGCCAAATATCCCTTCACTTGTGCCGATAGGCCAGGAAATGTGTTTCTCCGCTGCGCAAGAAGGTTGCCAAAGCAGGAGGGGATTAGAATTTCGTTTCAAACAATATAACTTTCCAACTGCCTACCACTCTTAAGGCAGAGCACCCTGGGGAAGCAGACTTCCTCATTTACAAGGCCGTCTCTCAACACCACGTTGTTTTGCAGTATGAGTGTGAGAGTGTTGCAGCTGCGTTCAGAATCACAGTAAAGCTGTTATTGTTCACAGACTTCCTTCATGTCACTTTAAGGTACAAACATCATCCAAAAAAAAAAAATAATAACTGAAAAATAACCTATCCATGTCCTGTGAGTCAGATATGAACACCTGTGTGTGAAGGTGCTAATAGTAAATTTTGAAGGATGGTTACTTTGATTCTCCCAACACATCAACACTTTCTTTACTGTCATCTTAAGTCAAGTTGGAAATTTAATCTCAGTGATCAAAATTATGATTTTGATTTAATCATGCTCTGTTTTTTCCTATGTCAAACTGCAGAGAAAAAGAGCTTTGTGCATGTTGCCCAATGATCAGTGACAAAAAAAAAAAGTTTAGGTGCTTTACAGCTTCAGTCAGATGTCAGTGAATATCAGCTTTTTTCTTTTCACTTTCACCTTCTGTTTTACTTGTTTTGCTTCACTTTACAATCCCTGGTTGGTGAATCTAAGGCAAAAGTGAAGGTGGAGTTTGGTCTCTGCTGCGCTTTGCTTGAAAACGGCCACAAGGTGGAACCACACTCCACAAAAACAACCTCTGCTTGACAGGACAGGTTGTGTCACCTTATCCGACTGAGTTATTAATCATAAATGAGCTCAGAGTTCACCTGCATGAGACACGAGTCAGGTTTGGTTAACAGAAGGTCAAAAAAATAAAATTACAGTTACTGTCTCCATCATCTTTTGAGAGATGATGATAAAGGCATCAAAACATGTTTGGTCGAATTATTTCATAATTAGTTTTAATTCAAAGAAATCATTTATGTTAGTACAGGTCATGTTAATATTGTCATAATTTTTTAAAATGACATGTCACTTCTAACTATTACTATATTAGTTGACATGAAAACACATTTAAGGAAACAGCTGTTAAATATCATGTTGTCTGGAAAGGAGTAATGTGAAATACTGTAACTTTTTTTACTTCCTTTTTGAAAGTAATGTCTAGTACAACTATGGCACAAGAACATATGCAGGGTCAAGACAAGTTTCATTTCAACATAGACTAGCATTTCATCATATTTCTTTTTTTTTTTTTTTTTTAATTTAAAAAAAAATGAGTTGTAAATCCCTGAGTTTAACCAAAGCATTGACACATTTTATTTTCCTTTTTGCAGTTACTGGTTTCTAAAATATCAAGATGAGTTCTACCACCATGCCTATGACTTCAACCAACAATGTCTCTACCTGTGATGGCCTGTACAACCACCGGGACTACGCCAGGGTGTTTATGCCCATTTTCTACTGCACTGTGTTCATCGTGGGGCTGCTCGGTAACTGCCTCGCCCTCCACGTCATCCGTCCCAATCTGAAGAAGATGAACTCCACCACCCTGTACTCTCTCAACCTGGTCATCTCTGATATCCTTTTCACGCTGTCCCTGCCTGTGAGGATTCTCTACTATGCTCTGGGCTTCCACTGGCCTCTGGGCGAGCCGCTCTGTAAGATCTCCGGCCTCATCTTCTACATCAACACCTACGCGGGGGTCAATTTCATGACCTGCCTCAGCGTAGACCGTTTCATCGCTGTGGTCTTGCCTCTGCGCTTTTCCCGTTTCAGGAGGGTTAGCAACGTGCGCTACATTTGTGTTGGTGTGTGGCTGCTGGTCCTGGCACAGACCCTCCCCCTCATCGGCATGCCTATGACCCACAGGGAAGACGATGGCTCCATCACCTGTATGGAATACCCCAACTTTGAGAGTGTCGACCATATTGCCACTATACTGATCGGCGCAGTCGTCCTGGGTTATGTCATCCCTGTGGTCACCATCCTGGTGTGTTACTCCGTCTTGTGCTCCAAACTCCACTTAACAGCCAAGACCAACCATTTGATGGAAAAGTCCGGTCGCAGCCGCAAGGCCATCGGCGTGATCTGCTGCGTGTCCCTGGTGTTTGTCGTCTGTTACAGCCCCTATCACATCGACCTCCTGCAGTACATGATCCGCAAGCTGGTGTCGACCCCCGACTGCACTGAGCTCACAGCCTTTCAGGTGTCGCTGCACATTACAGTGTGTCTGATGAACCTCAACTCCTGCCTGGATCCATTTATCTACTTCTTTGCCTGTAAGGGCTACAAGAGGAAACTCAGGAGGCTGCTGAAGCTGCAGGTCAGCATATCCTTCTCCAGCGCAGTGAGGACGTCACCTGAAGGCTCCTCCAAGGATATAATTGATGGCAACAAGATCCAACTCAACAGTACTACTATAGGTACAACCAGTGAGAGACTCACAGACAGGAGATTACACAGGTATGAGCAAGCTCAGGAGTCACATTAGAAGTGAGAAACTTTTACGTCTCAGTGGGCCGACTCCAGTCAGGACAGTGTCCCCGACAAGCCGATCTGAATGTTGAAATGGACTCAGTCATGCCATCATGGACTCCAAGCAGCTACTCAGCATCTGGATCTATAGGAATTCAGTTCTATTGGACCAGATTAGTTTACATAAGGGAAGAACATAAACAAAAAAAAAAAACAAAAAAGAAGGAAAATACAGCATCTTTTCTGTTCATGTTTTCTTATCAATTAGTGAAACGCTCAGGAACACAGAAATTATTACAACAAAAGAAAGAAAGGAGGATCCTTTTTTTTTGATAAAGCATGTTTGTGTCCTGCCAATAAACTGATGAGGCACAGCACAAAGCAGAGACTGGCAGAAGTGGACAGTCAACTGATAAAGAGCTGAAGGAGACACTGATGAACATCTACAAGCCGACACATGAAGACTTATACATGAAGACTTAATATTTGCAGTCAGACAATAACCTCTCAACATATCTCATCCACACAGTGTTTCTTTAAGGAAGTGAGACGTTAGAGTGGAAGTAGAGACTCACAATCAGACTCACAATCTCAGTTTCAGTTCTGCGCATAGTTGTAAAACTGATAAACTTCACACTCATTGTCTCAGCCATTTTAGCATTCATTGACTTATGCTAAAACTGGACATTAAATATTATGTAATTTTATTTAATAGCTTGTGGATTGAGCTTTTTTTAAGAGTTCTGTCAAAATAGAAATACTATCAAAACCAATTAAAAATTGTCAGTTTGAATTTTATATCAGTTAAGACAACTGTAGAGATATCAATATAGGCTATATTAAAAATCAGATGTCATTTCATTATTTTGGGATTTAGTTTTCATTGCTCTGTAATTCCACAAGTGATCGGCAGAGCAACACATGTGAAAGGTCACGTGGAAAACAGTCCTGACTGAACGTGTAAGTATGTAGTAATCCTCAAATTAAGATAATAATGTAACATACCAAAAATGTAAAGGAGCTCACAATGTCGAATGCAAACTGCAGTGAAATGGATTGAGCAGGAAATAGTTTCACATGTTTCTCTGATAGTTTACTGTGTGATGAGCTTTTATCCCCCCTGATATAGTTTAGACAGTGAGGGGCCGTGGATTTAGACAGTGAAGGACCGTAATGCATCGTAAACGTATCCAGTATACATTTTTTGCTGCAAAATTGACAGTTCTTCACTGATCATCCCTCTCAACTCCTGTCACAAACATTTAGTCATTGTTGTTCAGCTCTGAGAGATGTTGAGGAATTTAAAATTATCTAAATGTTTAAAAACATGTAGAAACTGTAAGTGAAACTTGCTTTGTTTTTTCCATATTTGTTCTAAAGTTTAAAGAAAAATTCTAAAAAAGAAAAATGAAAAAGTTGAGAGAACTCAAAATTTTCAAGGCAACAAACTTAAGCAAAGTTCTGAGTTTGGCATTAATTTAATTTCTTAAGTTTATGCATTGATTGTTTACCTCTGTTAACTTATTCCAGACAAAACATATTATTTTACATCAACACAACTCACAGTTTTTAGTTCTGTGAATCTACTCGTCTAAAATCTAGACAGGTCTACATGTATAACAAGACACGCAACTGTCTCCATCATTTTTTTCATGTGAGAAAAAAAAGGATTTCTGGGGAAGTCTTACCTTAATGCAAAACATGCTGGGAAGTAGGCCATATGCAAATATGCTAAACAGATTGCTGTTCTTGATTTCTGTTCTGAAAGTGATAATTACATGAACTAATAGAACTTTCTTGCTTTGTGATGAATCACATTTCAAAATTCAACCTTTTCAGGTCTCAGGACTTTCAGGACCTCTTGGCACAATTTAATTTTTTTATTTTAAATGTTGATAATAATTGTAATGAGGCCTGGTTATTGTTACCCTGGTCATGCTTCAAGTGTCTATTCTGGGTTCTGTGCCATTCATCTAGTTAAGTCAACTCTACTGTGACCAGTGTAGGTAATGCAGGACGCATACATTTTTGTAACTTTAATTAAAACACACTACTGGTCCAAATTAAATTAAATAATATACAAGAACTACACAAAACTGTAGTATAGACAAAACTTTTGGCAGAATAGAATATTTGATGATTCCAACATTTTTAAGTTAAGTATTTATCTCTGCAAAACAGCTACTATAGGCATAGTTAAGGTGAAGTGCGAAATCATGGTTGTGAAATATAAAATATAGTTTAGGCACACATTTGGTTTGGGGTTAGTGGAAGTATGTGGTTATGGTTTTAAAAGGCCGTCTGTTGGTGTTCGGCAGGGTGTAAACTTTTTTTTTTATCTACAGTAGACATCACAGACAGTACTTCCGTTCACTCTCCACCAATCATCTTGACCATCCAATATGAACGGAATTGCCTGTAAAGTCCTAAACTGCCAAGAGAAATACTTACTGTCAACCTTTACATTACATACAGAATGATATTTGTTTCTTCCCTATGTGAATGTCAGATACTTCTTTATGCAGATGATACGGTTTATATCTATGTATTTAAATCAGGATATGGTGAAAATAAAATAACATTCTTTTTGTACTTGAGATCCAGAACTACAGGTCACACACAAATATATTGTCACATAAATAAATATATTGACTGGCTTTTATTGAAAGAGTCACAGAATATATTAAGCTTGAGATGAAATCTAAATCTGGACAATGTCAGCAAAGTTTAAGGAAGTCATTCATAGACATGGCGCTGCCTCACATTCATTGCAAAACTCACCATTGTGTTCTTTATGATACTGTTGATTTGTTTGTCTGAAGGATTCAGTCGTTTACCATCAGAAAATTATTCACAACACTTTAGAAAATGACTGGCAGGCAAAACAGAAACAATATTTGTATCAACCATTCTTCACACATCATCTGATTCATACATCTGGCAGGCCTCAACAACACACTGAAAAAAGACACAAGTTCAGCAGCATTCATTTCACTCTGTTGCAGCATTATGCAACACTTCCAAGGCTTGAGCAAAACCACAGAACAAACATGTGTTCACAGTGAACAAAATGCAGTGCAGAGTGCACTCTGTTATATTCCTGGTAATAAAAGTTTGAACTGTACAACAACAGTTATTTCTCCTCATGTTTATTGTCCTTTTCTTTGTTGAAGGTTATTAAACAAAATGAATTTAAGTCCTCAGTTCGCAGGAACTTTGTTGATGTGGCATTTGTGGAAATATGAGCATGATGGTAAAAACACAGTATACAAATACTGTGAATCTGAGGTGATCAGCTTTTTGATAATCAGATAATTGTCTGTGTCATTTTCTATTTACCCTTTTTCACTATTTTCTGACATTTTATGGAAAGTAATAGATTAACAGGAAGATTACACAGTAACTCCTCTGGCTGGTACTTTGTTTGTAAAGCTCTGGTCCATCACCCTTTGATACCCTTTTCTTTCTTGGCGAATTGGCCCATTTGGCTGAATGAATGTAGTTATTACTGAGAATAACTATTTGGCAAGCAGCCATAACTCATACATAACTTGATATTCTTTATTTTACACTTTATCACATTTTTACGATTTTATTTCACTGAAACATGTCCCTTGCTGATCGTGTAGCTACTTATATCACAGTAAACACTGTATTTCACTCATAATTGCCTTCTGCTTTACATTGGCTTTTTTTTGTCACCCGATTTCTTGGGGATTTTTAAAAAAGTGCTTGTTTTAAAGGGATGGGCTCACTACTATGTATCCACATCTCTGAAACATGAATCACAGGCATAGATACATTCAAATTACCTCATTAAGACTTTGTGGCTTGGAAATGTTAAGTTATTTTCTGCAGCAGTTACTACAGATAAAATGTTATCCAATAAATTCATGTTTTTAATATCCTGGTATTATATGCAGTAACAAGCCACTAATAATTCCAAAGACAAAAATGGTTATTGGGCACAGACTCAGTTTTGTAGTGTTTCTTTTCAGCCTCTAGAGGACAGTGTAAAACAGGGAAAAGAGGTGATGGTGAAGAAAGTAAAATGGGCTTTTTACAGGAATCGTACACATGATCTCAATATTGACAGGCTTGATAAAAGGGATCAATTAATCCTTTTGTTGAAACTGTTCTTTTGACTGTTTGACATTGAAAAAGAATGGGTATCAAAGAGTATAAAATGATTTAAGGGAAGAGACAACAAAAGACAGAACCCAGCACTGTCTAGATATCTGTAAGCCAAACTGCTGTGTTTATGGATACTGTTTAAAAGGGATTTATTATGGTGTGGGGAACTTACTGAGGCAACCACATGACAAGTATCAAGGAGAGGAAAACATCACACAGACTGTTGTCATAACAACATATTGCAATGAACACAAAGTACCATCTGGTATGAGATTTTTAAGACACATTGAGAGGACAAGCCGATAGATAATTATTTCCCGGGAATAAGAATTCGACTGAATGAGCAGCTGAAAATACAGGGGTAAAAATAACGTAGCCACCGTGGAAAAAGGCTTCAACATCAGAGATGACCAAATGAAAAATCTGCATCGTCAAAACAAAATATGTGACAAATACATATCATCCTGTGCGGAGGTTGAAAAGACAGTCAGAAGGCACAAAGAAGAAATGCTATAAGTTGTGAGAAAGTATGATTTTCTTCCTGTTTCACAAGATCTATAATGAAAGCGAAAACCACCAGTTAGGAGATCAGGTGGAAGAAGTTTTGATTGCACAATGTTCTTTGAGCCAAATGTCCTAATTCATAGTTGTTACCAGCTCACACACACATTAATCACACACATTCATCTGTATTCAATCCAGGTCCAGACTGACCTTGAGCGTTTCACCTGAGGTATGCGCTTTGCATCCATTAAGTCGACGTGGTGTAAAACCATCTCATAGCATCAGCGTGAAGTGTCTATTACCACCATCTTATTTCCTGTTTATATGGCAACTGCCTCAACATCCTGTTTTTAATTACTTCTCTCCAGCAGCAGATGCTTCTCACAGCAACCTGCTGTGGATTACTCCCCTGAGAACTAATGTGCTGTGACAGACCCCACTTTTCCAATCAATAACTCGCCCTAAATCTGCCATCTCTCTGCCTGCCAAACACACTCCCACTTCTAATGGCACATCATTTTCTTTAAGGGGGTGTAATTGCAGACAGTGGAAAGCTGTAGCCCTTTGTGTTCCAACTACGTAGATACTGTAAAGGAATCTAAAGAACAGAAACTACAGCCCACGGTCGACACAGGAAGTGATGGGGGCTTTATACTGCGCCGAGTCTCGCCACCATTTCCATCACATTGCCCTATGAGAGAGCATTCACTTCCCTGTTTTGGCTGTTAGAGCAAAGTGCTCAGATAAATCGCTGTGCCGCTTCATAAACCTGTTGGTGCAAGCTTGACAAGATGTTTGTTTGATTTCTGTGGTAAGTGCAGTGTTTTATTGTCCAGGCAAGGCTACCCGATCACTTTGACCTTTAAGATGAAGGGAAAAAGTCAATTTGGCTGTCATGTTTTATAGCTACCTGCTGTACTTGTGTGTTGGCGCTGTGTTTTGGGACAAACTGATTTAAAATCACCTTGATTGTTTTATTCCTCAGCTTCACAGTAATTGTTTTTTCTCTTAATGATCACCCACATTTCACATTATCTACAGTAGACATCACAGACAGTAGTGTATCAAGGGGGAAAAAAATTCTTAATTGTGAAACACAGAAGTCACATGATTTCTTATCAAGAAATGGCATCAGAGTCTCTAGGATAACAATCTCATTTCCACATTTTACCCTCACAACAGATACTGGTTCTCTGTTCTTTCTACATTCTTTCTATATTGTAGTGGTTCACATTTTTTTGGACCAGCTATGTGACATTTATGTAATATGTAATAATGAAATGACAAATCTAGACCCATGCAGTCTATTTATCTTCATCTGTATTTCACTGTGCAGCTGCACAGCATTTAAAAATAAGTATTCAAATGATCAAGCAGCAGGTTCTGCAAACTGTAAAACACAGACATGTCCATATTTAGAAGCTGCCTCTGGCTATTTCAACCCGTATTGCTTCTGGAAACCTGGTTGTTTCACACATTTCTTTCTCCCAAACACAGGACTCTGCTTATGTTTTATCTTGCTGAAAGGAAAATCAGAATTTTATGAATTTTTGTTTGTTTGTTTGTTGGTTTGTTTTTTTTTCTAAGATTTGAAACTAACTTGGACCAATGAGGGATTATCTCCACATGATGTTCAAAAGTAAGTTGCATTACCTAATATTGCTCCTCACATCACTTGTAATTTGAAACTTGAAATCTTACAAGCCATTTCAGTCAAACATTTAATTAAAGCAGACATCTTTAACTTTTCTGTACTATTTTTGTACCTGACAGTGAGTTACAGTTGCTCAGATTTGATTAATTGTCTTCCAAAGAGACACCATAGATGACCAAAAATACCCCTTTTTTCCTTGCTAAGACCTTCCTTGAAGCTCATGACCTTTCAAAATAAGTGACTTCAACTTCATGAAGACAAATGATCAATACTGAGGAGAAATTTGTAAAATAAAAAATTTAGTTTAATGGAAACAAACAGCAGTGACTCACTGTATAATAATTCACCAAACAATGTTTTTTTTCTGCTGAATTTTTTACATTTCAGTATGAACTTGGATCTGAATATCTCCAACATGTCTGTGGAGTTTGGTGCTGAAAGGCCTAAGCAGGGACCGGTGGAGTACCGCATGGCAGGCCTGATCTTCTACTGCTTCGTCTTCATCATAGGAGTCATAGTCAATCTCACTGCTCTGTGGGTGTTTGCTCTCACCACCAAGAAGAGGAACTCGGTCACTGTCTACATGATCAACGTGGCAGTGGTAGACCTAACCTTCATCCTGCTACTTCCCTTCAGGATGGTCTACCACCACCAGGACTACTGGCCCTTTGGAGATCTATTCTGCCGGATCATTGCTGCTCTCACCATTTTCTACCCCTGCATCGCTCTGTGGCTGTTTGCTCTGATCAGCGCTGACCGCTACATGGCTATCGTCCAGCCAAAGCACGCCAAGGAGCTGAGGAATATCCCCAAGGCCGTGGTGGCGAGCTGTGGGGTGTGGTTCATGACTTTGGGCAGCACTGTGCCCCTGCTCTTCACTCAGCATGACCCTGATCGCATCTCCAACTTCACCACCTGCATCAAGATGCAAGACATCATCCACTTGCGTCATGACAACTCTGTTAACTTTGTGCGACTCATCTTCTTTTTCCTGGTTCCCATATTTATAATGATCGTCTGCTATATCGTCATAGTTGACAATCTGATCCACGGACGCACCTCTAAACTCAAACCTAAAGTCAAGCAGAAGTCTATCCGGATTATCATCACACTCATTATCCAAGTGTTAGTGTGTTTTGTGCCTTTTCACGTGAGTTTAGTGCTTCGTTTGCTGGGGGACGGCAGAGACGGGGGGTTTAGCACATGGGCAGTCTTCACCACATTCCTAATGAACATGAGCACAGTGTTAGACATTATTCTGTACTACATTGTCTCCAAACAGTTCCAAGACAGGGTGATCAGTGTGATTCTGTACAGGAACTATCTGCGAAGCGTGAGACGGAAGAGCAGGCACACACACACGGGCAGCGTCCGATCATTGAGCAACCTGACCAGTGCAATGATATGAAACAGCCACCCAAAACTTTCATGTCAAACGACACACCTACATGTACTGTGCACAAAGTAACACTGGATGCATCACAGTGTACACGGTTCATCATCAAAAGGATCAAAACTTGCAATTAATTTCCGAGGTGTAATTTACACTCACAGTATGGGAGTGCTGCTGTTGTGGCAAAAACATCTGTGTTCAGAGCTGATTGACTCACCCATGAGACTTGAGATGTTTTCTGTGCATCTTTGCTCTGGCAGACACAGCACGGTTGTCTGTGGCTCAGGTGTAATACATGCAGGCGAAAATAAAGCGGCTAATCATTTAAAACATAGCCCACAGTATCTCCGCGTTTGGCTTGTTATTATGTAAAAATAGTGAAACTCTTCTCAGCCTTCTCACAAGGTCACCCAACAACCTTAAAGAATGTGGCAGCCTCAAGGGGGTGGGGTGGGGGGCTTACAGGAAACGACGGTGGTTTCTGAAACGTTGCTGCTTTCTTTTGGTCTGTAACATCGCCTCTGCAGAACCTCAACGCTGCATCATCACCAAGTAAATATGACATAGAAAATATATAATTATAGCACACACTTCACAAGCGTCCTGAAAGTTGCTGAAAATTTATTGACCAGGTGATGGCAGCATGGCACAGCTAGATCACATCCACCTGCACGAGCAATACAAAACAGAGCTTTCTTACTTTTCAAGTGGGCAGTGCTGGGTTTTTGTGTCTCTCCTTTAGAGCTCCTCATATATATATATATATATACACATATGTATAAACATTTGCTTCTTCGTGTGATTACATTTCAGCTGTACTTACTAAAGCAAACTATTTCAGTTTTTATTCTGTGAAATAACCATTCCACCTCCTCGCAGAGAAGTTGTTAACTGCAGTCATAACAGCTTCCTCAACCAGGAATCAGACTGAAGTGTGTTTATGGTGCAGTGCGAATCATATTGATTAGATGTTAAATGATTCAGTCACTTGAAGTGCATTTACAGTAACATCCTCAAGATATGTCAAGCAGGCTATTTACTAGATTTAAAGCAACCTTAACCTTAAAAAGAGAGAACCTTTTCTGCTCAGGGATACTTTAATGTCAAGTCTCTGCTGTGAGTATAAGCACCACATTTCAAGATCCTGCAATTTATCCTCAATTTATTCCTCAAATGACAGACAAGTGATGAGTTAGAAGGTACTGAATGTGTGACAGTTCTATCTCTGTGAAGGGACTGTTTAATTTAAATGAAGGAAAAAAAAAACACTCATGTTTGAATGTGACGGTTTTGATAGGTGTCCTGCACAAACATCACCCGAGCTACAAACTGATTTGGTGTTGCCAATCGCTAAAATAATCAAGTTAGTGTGTCTGTCACACCAACACAGTCTTAACTGGATTAGACAGTGAGTCAGTGTAGCTGAGTAACTATGTAATGCCTCATACAATTAGACAGGCAATGCACCCTGTGGTGTAACCACATCTACCATAGCAGTTCTCTGAATAGTTATCGTATGGCAAATCAATTGCAAACACAGCGAAATAAACAGCATCATACTGCGCTATTCCTTTAAGAGATTCTGGTTTTATTCATGTTTTCTCACATTTTCACAAGCACGCCCAGTTAAATTTCCACCGAGATGAGTTATTGAACCACAGTGGTAAAAGGATAAACTGCACTGAGAGTCCATATGGTTCTTGGTTGGGTTGTGTAGTGTTCATTTTCAAGAAATGGCCACACTGACATATAGAAGAGGTAGATTTACACTGTGTTTAACAAGAAGAGGCAGACTACAAGATTTCCATCTCACACAGAATTCTGGGAACTGCAGTTCATCACATGATGATAGCTTTATTGGTCGGTGGACTACAAGTGGATTTATAACCAAGAGGTCAAAGGTCAAATGAAACATCAGAGGGTCATCTATCTGTCCCACCTGTTAGACATCAAAGAAAAACCAGTCACGCTGCTCACAGCAACTGGCATTTAAAACAATTAAGTTTCCTGTCAAGTCCCTGTGATGAATTATCCGGAAGCTTTACCGGCTGTAATTCTAAATCTTCCCAACAAGTGCCTTTGTTGTAGAGAAATTAATGAAAACAAGATTGTCTTTCATAGGAGCTGATCTAACAGCGCGACAGCCAGCTGCTCTTCTTTGGGAATAAAAACAGTCAGCATTAAACACAGCTCAGACAAAATACTTCTTTTTTTTTTTTTCTCCTACCACTCGTGTGGAAAACAAATCAGGCGACGAGCGCAGTGGCCATCTGTTTTGTTATTTGATATGTGTGAATACATGTTGTAATGACTTTGTTTGTGAATCACTCTGCGCGGCAGAACACACGAGAGCTCTCGAAGTGCTGGAGTGTTCAAAGCTAATCATATAATTGGACACAATAGTCGATGACAAATGGAGACGCTTGGAGCCAGCCAGCTGGGGAAGTGAATATGTAATCATTGTAAAATCATATCATTTTTGCATATTTGAAGACAGCTTAATAGAGTTTGCATGTCAGCACAGTATCAAATGATGATCAGAGACAGTGTTGCTGTATTTGTTTTTCTAAATTGCGTTCTGCCGGACTATTTATCTTTATCATGATTAAAAGTGTTTCTCAACAGTTTGTTTCTTATATGTTCATTTATGTTTCATGCTATTATGAATGTTGAACAAATTTGGGACAAATGACCCTTCTGAATATGAAAAAAAAAGGGAATATGGTACAGCAGTAAACAGCCTTTAGCTATGATTGCCAATTTATACCCCAGGGGTATTTCTGCAGTTGCCAGGAGGTATGTGATGACTACTACATGCTGTAGTGACTGTTGAGAGAGAGAGACAGAGAAAGAGAGAGAGAAGACTAAATGGCTATATGAATAAATAAATGGTTGAAACTGATAACTGCCAGTAGTGAATAAACAATTCAAATAGTAAAAGTAACTACGTACAGTTGTGGATTAATGGTTGAAATAGACAGTCAAAAGTAATGGGTAAATGGCGAAAAGTAGTAGATAAATGATTTAAATAATTACCTAACGAATAAATAGTTGAAATAGTTAGCTAATTAAAAGTAATTACGGATTAATGGTTGAAATGTCCAGCTTCCGCCAAACCAAGTGATGCAAACTTGAAAAAATTGTATGAAAAAATTATTGTAACAATACAACTTTATATAATTAAAAGTGTTAAATGACATCCAGTTTAAAATCAGTTCATATGAACATACTCGGAACATTACTGGCGATGACAATGGAAGGATACTTGAGTTAATTTGTCCGATCATAAAGGTAGGGAAGCACTGGTCTACAGTACAGAATACTGCCAAAGGTAATCTGCTACCTCAACACAACTGAATATCGATAATGCTTTATGTGACCTAATTGACCACACAGATTTATAGTATAATGTCAAAAACACACACCTGAAGCAGTGTCTGCCACCCAAAGGTGTTGTTGTATTTGAAACAACAGCAGAAATACAGTACCAGAAGCACAGTTTCCTACACTTTTACTATACCATTAGTCTTCATATTGTTCCCATTAGAGAGCACGAGGACATGAAAGAGAGCCTATAATGTTATATAGATACTGTACACATCCAGCCTCGCCTGGGCCTCTTCGTCTACTGTACGGCATTAGCAACAAGCAGCTGCCTGCATTTACATCGTTTAGCGTTTCTCTCTGGGCGCTTTAATACACCGAACCTCTCCCCTGGTAAACTTTACAATAGGATGTTGAAGGATACTCCTGGACTGCCATAGGAAATGAGAGGCACATGTGCGTGGATGTAGCAGTGGGTCCCCCCCTGTGACGCTGAGCTTTAGGGCTGCACAATAAGACTAATGGATTCCTTTTGTGGACAAAACTAGGTTAAGCACATGAGCTATTGTTCTTATCTGTGGTAGATGTACAATGATATCTTATGTATGTTAGGAACAGTGTGAGGTATTCCCTTTGTACACATATTTAGCCGGGATAGCTTCACAGCGGTAATCTTTTCCTTTGGCAATGGCAATCTACTCCTGTATTGTCTTTCGTCTCCATTAAAAGGGGATAATCTACTGCAAGAGTTTCGAATGCTACTAAACTGACTCCAATTGACCCTGTAGTTAGCTGAGAACAGTGGAGGGAGCGGAAATGTATGGCCTTGATTACAGCTGTGTGTCTATTTTAGCAGATTGTTCTGTTGCTGATTCACACACACAGCCAACCACCATTAGCACGTATAAATAATGTAAGACCCTCATCTCTCTCTGTTTTTTTTTTCTTTTTTTTTTTTTTCCAACTCTCTACTCAGCTAAGTGGCTGCATGGAAACCTTGGCCTCCTCCTTGTCAGGTTCTCCATAGATTAGTATAAGATTTATTTTAAGTCTGTAAAGCAGTATGTTCTCGACAAGTGTTCCGCTCAATGCATGTGGGAATGCTTTAAATTGTATCATGTGAAGTGGAATAGGAGCTCCGGTGGGGACTGTGTCAGGTTGTGTTAATATTTAATCCGGTCTCACTTCAGTTTCCACATGATCCACACTATCGTAAGAGCAGAATAAGAAAGCAACATTACAAGACAGACAAAGAGACATGAGTAAAGACATCGTAGCTCCAGGCCGCTGTCTCACTCAGGATGTAGTGCCGTGAAAAGCTTGTGAAGACGCTATTATGAGATTCCACGTGTGCCTCTCTTCTCTTTGCCAAGGCCTGGGCCGTACTGCAGTGTGCCCTGAACAGTCAGGGATATTATGGCAGCTAATGCTAATGCACTCATTTCAGCTGATGTGCATCTAAAGAGAGCTGACTGACAAATTTAATGTAAAAGCAGGTGGAGAGGAAGAGTGGAAGAGTTGCGCGTTTGATGGAAAAAAAAAAAGCAGGACACAGCGTTAGCCTGTGTGTGCAGGAGAGACAGGGAGGGAAGAATGGAGGGAAAGACTGAGAGAAGGAGGGATGGAGAGAAGAGCGAGAGAGGCCTTTCACTTCCTCTGTGTGCACATCACGTCTCCTCTCCCTGAGCTCAATTACAGGATTGATACTCGGAGAGGAAACTTCATCATGTTGTACAGATGTCTTCACTGGGAGAAAGAGGGAGACGATGCATCTTGTCATTTAACGTGACATGGTCTGCGTTAGTTCAAAACAAACAGAAACAGTTGGACTATAGATTTCATTATAGGCTAATAATAAATATGGAGTACCAGTAAAGAGCGAGGACTCCTTACTGACGGAGGAATGAACTGGAAGTGGCCATGCCTGCTGGATAGAGAATTTAACAATTCTGCTGAGTGAATTAATCTAAAACAATAACCTGTAAATAATAATACTCTTTCAGTGAGCCATTCAGCTCCATCATAGTAAACATTTTTTATAACCCAGACAGCTCTATAAAGTGCTTTAGGCATCATTGGGCACAACCGTCATTAGTCAGTGCCTGTGTGTAAATCTGAATAAAACCACAGTGTTGGTGATGCTGCGCAGACACAAGCCCATATCTATTTTACAGTGTTTCATTTCAAACGTGACACAGGCAGAGAACACACTCCACAACAATGGCCATGTTTTGCTTTAATTTGATTAGGTTTTGTCTCAGCAAATGCCAAGTCCTGTTTTGCCTCAAGAACATATCTCTTAATCACGTTCCATCCAGGCTGTGTCTTTCATCTAAATCTCACAGCCGTGGCTCACACCCAACTTTATTTCGCTGAAAGGTAGAAAAAAAAAAGAAAAAAAAAAAAGCACACACACGTATACACACACACACACACCAGCACACACACATCCAACAAGGGGGAATACAATGACAAAAGCCTAGCTCTCATCTCTGTCACATAAAGTGATGTTTTGTGTTTAGCTGTGTGCAACTGAGGTGTGCGTGCGTGTGTGTGTGGTTGTGTGTGTATGTGTGTGTGTGTGTCTGTCTGCAGGGCTCAGATCCATGTTGTTTGGTTTGCTTCTCCATTAAGAGAGCTGTAAAGGAGAGGGAACAGATGGCTGCTGGCCCGCTCTGTCCTGCATCCTCTCACAACTGCCACACTTCCTGTGCGTCCATTAATCTTCTCTCACTACTCCTGCAGCACAACTTTATTAAAACAACTCAGGAGAGAGCGAACAACAAGCCCGTGCAGCTGTCAGGAGCAAAAGACAGAACCATTCGTCCACAGAAGAACGACCTCGGATTTCTAGACGCATCTGTAAAACAGCCCGAGTAGAATCCGGATGGCTTTGAAGCGGTCTCTGCAAAGCACTTGGTGTAGTGGAGATGCAATAAATGCTCATTAGAACGCAGCTGGAACTGCTGTTGTTGCAGAGTTCATAGCTACAGTTTGTCAAACTTAAACATGTGAGGCTCTAGCTCCCTGCCTGGGACAGACTACTGTTTCCTCCTGCTCTAAGAACATGTGGGGAATGCTGTGTAATAGTAAAGTTTGGCCTGAGTGATGGCTTTGAGTGCAGAGAACCTCATAAACACTAAATCTACAAGCAGTCTGTCTGTTAAACAAACTGTTGAGATTATACATCTGAACTTTGTGATTTGGCGCTGTATAAATAAAAATATACTTGACTAGCTCTTAATGTGACAGAACAGGTTGGTTTATGCTTGTTTGTTTTCGAAAATAAATAAAATGGTTCCTTTAGTTAATTAGTGGGGACCTATTAAGGGAAGATCAGTAACACTACATAAAGTGAGAGATAAATACTTGATGCTACTGCACTGTATAAACACAGGGACTGAATTTGTTGTCTTGCCTGATCGTTCTCACAGGATGAAATATCTAACTATTTAGGTGGCCTGTGCAAATTTACATGTAGCGCCCTGTCATGACAAATATTCTAGGAACGTAGCTCTATTTGGCCCTGTGCTCTGTGTCCATAGCAGTCAGCGGGTACATTGAAAAATCAATTCCAATTTAAATTATTGGAATAAAGAACTCCAGGAGCCGCAGATAAAAAAAAGAAAAAGAAAAACCCTTCTTCTTCTAGATCCCCTTTAATTGGAAAGTCATTTCTTCAGGGTATTCTAATGGTTCTGAGGGAAGATTGCAAAATAAAGTTGATGAGCTGGGGGGAGGAGGGGTGGAGGGGGGGTTAATAGCGCACGCTTGTGTTTGTGTGTGTTCGCCTGACCCTGTGTGTTTTCTTTGCTCTGCCACACAGTGCTCAGTCTTCGCCTCCCTTATGACAGAGGCACCAAATGAAGACTAATCCAGTGGGCTCACACACACTCAGACACACACTCCCTCACGCCTGTGGTCACTCGTCTCATCCATCTGCTATCTGGGGGAGTGTCTGGGGCTCTTGGGTCAAACTAAATTAACCATCCCTCGCTCACAATTGTAAAAATGTAATTGACTTAATATAACCAACCCTGGCGATTTGGATACTCTGGCTGTGAGTAATTTTACGAAAGCTTACAGAAGCAACCTCAAAGTCTAATATTGTACTGATGTATCATGACATAAAGTGGTTGATTAAAAATTCTCAAGTAAGCTTTGTGATTGCAGCTCATTTAAAAAAAATGACAGGAGAATTATTGTAAGAGCACTCTCTGTAATTGATATTGAAACAGTGATTTTTGTTGGGATTTATTATGTGAATTTACTCGCTTTTCTGCTGTTTACTTT